TTATATATAATAAAAGTTAATTTATTAATTAAAAAAGTTTGTGGTTATTGAGTTGTTCTCGCGTTTTCGTAAATCACAGGGGTTCTCGTTTGAACCTCCACCTATATATATATATATATATATATATTGCTTGTGAAAACACCTAAACTATCATATTTTTTCTACTGATTTGGAAGCATATCAAACAGTGATATTACGTAACGAAAAATAGCGAATCTAAAATCGTGTGCACATGGGTGAGATACATGTGTAGGTGTTGGTGACATGCACCATGTGATGTGTTGAAAATATAAAACATGATAAACACGATCTTATATGTTTTTTTTTATTGCAAGCATCAATGCTTTTTATTCGAGTTATTGTTTATACCATTAACCTTTTTCTCTTACCGTTTTATACTCCTGTATACTGCATTCTATACTTCTTTTCCTTTTTTTGAGTACAACATTTTGTATCAACATGTGTGTTTTTATAACTGAAATTCAAGAGTTTATCTGTTTCGACTTAAATGTTTGTATACCCAAATTCATTTTGTCATTTTACTTCAAATAATGATAGTAACCTCTGTATATATCGAGAGAAAGAGAGATCAAGTGCAAACCAGTTCATTAATACAAACTTTGCAAACACATTCCACCAATTAGAACGTGCCATATGTTTTTTTTTCCTTTTTGTTCTTTCTTTGATAGCAAAGGGTTTTATTGTCATTTTATATTTTTGATGGTTATTATTCATTTAATTACTATGCCTGATTATAGGAGATATTCTATATGTTTTGGTAATTGATTAAATATTGATTTTTTAAAAATTCTAAATTTACGATTTAATAAATGCTTTAATTTGCCATTTTAGCCTATGGTGCCAATTCCTTTAATATCCTATTTTTTTAATTAATTTTTATTAACAAAAATAGAAAAAAGTAATCTGAGTCTTTTGATAAATGAAATTTACGGTTATAAATGGTTTTGTAAAGTTTGTATAAATTGTTAGGTTTGCAATCGAAATCACCTCTTTATACATACATGCATACATACCTACCTTATAAAAAATTGAAAAACATTGTGATTAAAAAGACGGTTACAACTTTATTTTTAAATTAAAAATTCTCTTACTTCTTATTTTTAAAACTCGAAAAAAATATGAAATATTATGAATTTAGTCCCTAAAAATAATTATTTCCTTCGGTTTCCCTTTTTTAATTAATCAACATTAAAACATCTTGAGATTTATTTGTTTAAAAATATTTGTCAAAGATTTAGGGCCTGTTTATTTTTTAAAATTTGCCTCTTAATTTCTTCTTATGTCTGAATCGGTCAGACATATGGACTTTCAGATCGTTTGTTTTTCCCCCAAATTAAGAGCTGAATTCATAAGGTTTCCTCTGAATTTTTAAGTGGTAACCCTAGCTCTTAATACCTCTTATTTGTT